TAATGAAGTGTAATGATTTATGGTGGGGAAAATTATGGTGGGATTTATGGGGGTGATTGAAATTGGTTAAAAAGGCAAATAATTAATTATTTATTTATATATAAATGTACCACTTCCTCTCGATGTTTTTGGTATGTGTTCTAAAGTGTTTTGTAAAAAGTACTAATATTGAATTTGAGAGTCAATGTAACGTTTTTACTCTTAGTAAGGAAACACATAAGATATATATATACACTCAAGAGCCACAACATTATGACCACCTGTCAATAACGAGTTGGCCCACCTTTGGCACGCAACACAGCTTCAACCCGCCTTTGCATGGATTAATACCACCACTTAATACCAGTTAAATACCACTTCCACCTGATCACGTGCCTTCCACGTCATCAAGCGAGTTCATTGCAAAATGTAGGGGTGGTCATAATGTTTTGGCTCTTGAGTGTATATATATATATATATATATATAAACACTACATATTATGTACTAGGCAATTGTCTTGAGACTTCTCGAAAATTTCCCAAATTCGTAATATAACACCTATCCCACTAAGTAAAGTATTAAAACAAATGGATATGGAAGTAGAACTGCAACTATAAAAAAGAATAAATATCATATTAAGAGCGTCAGATCTTTTTGGACTATTATTTTATGAAGTAGAACAAATGTAATTAGAACAAATGCAATGAAGTAGAAAAATTTTCTTAACATTAAATTGCCGTTTAATGATGCGAGGAATAACATATTTAAAATAATTTGTTCAAAAGCTTCAAATTACATTAAAATGAGTATAAACTGTTAACAATTGGCATCCTTAAGGATATTTTTAAATATTTATGGTAACAATATTATTACTTTGTGTTATATAGGAATATAAAATATTGTTTATTTATCTTATAATTGTTGTTTTGTTTTTTGTAATCAACTTTTATGGGGTTTTATTTTTTCTAAATGTATGATAATTCAAACAGTGATTTTCCTTGGTTCATACTATTTTTTTTTTTTTTTAATAGAATATATGTCTTATGCATTTTTGTTTTTGTTAGTTATAGTCTAAGCTTACTTAATAAAATGACTTATTTTTAATTCAGTGTTACGCATAAAAAGTTAAAAAGTTTCATAAATATAATATTGCAAAATAATGATCTCATTTTCAAAGGGAAGCGATCTAATTTTGAAGTTTCAATGAAAATACTTATTTTCTACGCCAATCTAAAAATAAACATTACTTATAAATCCATTTATGTGTAATTATGATATGTAAATTTCAAAATCTTTCCTCTAAAAGTTTGGGATTTTGTCTTAAAAAAAAATTTTTTTAGAATTTATTTGTAAATTTTATGTATATATTTATTTATAAGATAAATTTTTCTAGAAATGCAGAGAGAATTGATTCAATTTAAATATTGCTTTAAAAACTCAATTTATAGGTACAGGCATGTAAAAATATTAAAAAAATTGTTACATATAAACAATAAAGAGACCAAAACTTTAAAACATATTTTATATAATGTTATTAATATATTTTAATAAATATCTGCGAACGTGATTTTTTAAATCATTGCAAACCATTTTATTATAATCAAACTTAATAAGAAAATGGAAAAAATAAACTTTTACTACTAAGAGGTACTGGACCCACTTTCGCCGCCAGATTATAGTGTGCTGGTTGGGCAACTAGACTGCAACAGTTTGGGATTTGGTTGAAATACCTGAGGCACAGGTGAGTGGTCTCACAACCACCACACACATACAATTAGAGGCATACAATATTTAACACATTTAAATATATATATTCGTATAAGGATTCCGCTTCTAAGCCGAAACCCCGAGTTCTGCTATGTGCAGAGTGCGCGAAATATACTTCCTCTCCAGGTGAGAGTCTGCCGGACAACTTACCCATTCTCCTGAATGCTATAGTGGGGACGGACGCTCTTTCCAATGGGCAGGGGGAACCATGGTGACAAACTTAAATTAGAAAAATTTCTTTAATCATATAAATTAAAATATTTTCAATCTAATTCAATAGTATTTTAATTAATTATAGATATGCTTAAAAGCGCATGAAATATCCATTCATTTTTGTATATTTTTTGACGGTTTCAATTTACACTTTTAAAGGACACTATATTTATTAACTATTCTCAAATACTTTTAAATTCAACTAAGGATTTTAACTAAGTATGAACTTTCTTATTCAAACTTGAAATGTTTAAAAAATATACCGTAATATAATTTTAAATACTTTGCAGAAAGTTACATTCATTCTTAAGAAGTTGCAGAGTTTTCGGCTAAACTCTAACACCTGGAACGAAGAATAAACCCATGAATAATAAATGAATTTGAAACGGAACTTGAAAGCAGTAACATAATTCCGGAGGTTTTTAATATCTTAAATATCCGTGAAAACGACAGGAAAGAAGGCCATTTAAAACAGCCTCTGCTAATGGGGTTGCTTTGCATTCTAAGCGCTAAGAAAATCCACTAATTGATAATGGTGGCAGGTAATGGCGGTTAAATATAATCACTTTATTTGGGAACGCCCAACAATCAAATGTCACTGTTAGACTTAATTACGGTGACTAATTTTGGTGTAATAGTGTCGTTTTATAATCCATCATATTATACTTTCATGAAGATATGATTTGATCAGGTTTCACATTGTTGTATCAAAAAAAGTCATTTTATTTTTAAAAAAACTATTTATAACTTACAGAAAATCTTTAAAAATAATGATTGGATATTATTCAGTAGCTAACATTCAAAAGTCACTGTTAGACGTAATTACCGTGAGTAAGTTTGGTGTAATATTATCGTAATTATTGGATTAAATATGATGGATTATATGTAATATAATCCATCATATTATGTTTTCATGAAGATATGACTTTCTTAAGCTTCACATTGTTGTATATATTTTATTTCTTTAAAATTTATTTATAACCATCCTTTACAAATAAGGATTGAATATTATTCAACAGCTAACAATCACATGTCACTATTAAACTTAATTATTGTGTCATATTGTCGCTTTAAAATCCATCATATGATACTTTCATGAAGATATGATTTCACATTGTTGTATCAAAAAGTCATTTTTTTTTAAATTTATAACTTACAGAATATCTTTAAAAATAGGGATTGGGTATTATTCAACAACTAGAAATCGAATTTTAACTATTAGACTTAATTACTGTGACTAATTTTGGTGTAATAGTGTCATTTTATAATCCATCATATACTTTCATGAATATAAGATTTCACATTGTTGTATCAAAAAGTCATTTTGTTTTTTTTTTTTTTAAATTTATTTATAATTTACAGAAGATCTTTAAAAATAGGGTTGGATATTATTGGATTGGATTATAATTAACAATCAAATGCTATTATTAGACTTAATTATTGTGATTCATTTTTGTCATATTATCATTTTGTAATCCCTCCATATTGTAGCTTAATGACTATTTAATTTGCTACTTAAACTTTATACAAATATCGTATTGTAAAATATATCCGAAATATATCGATAATCTTTTAAAATACGGATTGAATATAATTCAAAGTGAAAAATTATTTCATGTCTAATGAATCCTGTAAGTTCATTTCACACAAAAAAATGAATGATACAACGTTGAATAATTATAATTCAGATGTATTCACCTTGAAAAGATAAGTCTTAAATCTTGCTGGTTAATTCAATTTATTTCGTGTAATTCGATTTTTGCATTAAAATAATAAAAATGTTCATAAAAGGAAATATATTTCTTAATGTATTTGAAATACGTTGTATTTTTTTTTTCTTTCTTTTTTTTTTTTTTTTTTTTCTTTTTACAAAAAATAACAGCTAGCAAACCTACACTCAATTTGACCATTCTATTTTTTGTTTATAGGGTTAGTGGATTAACTAAAATACATTCCTACCCCTTCCACGTCATCCAGGTGAAATAATGTCAAAAACATTCTATTTTTTTTATATTTAACTTTTTTCAATTTAAGAGAAATAATGTAATTTTAAAATCTAATACAATTTGAAATGTAAAATTAAAAATGCATTATAAATAATGGAATGAAATGATGGAATTTAAAATTCACAAAATAAACTTGAATAACATATCATTAGCAAAAATAATAGCATATATGTAATAAATTCAGCAATATGCATAATGCACCACGATTTGCACTTCTACATTGTACCTTTATTTTCTAAATAAAACTTGAAACGAAAAATTCAAAGAGGGAGGCACTCTGTTGTAGCACCATTTATAATAGTCGAGCAGGCCTTGGGAGGACTGAGTTATGAGTAATGGCAGATGAGTTTTTGTTGCTAAGCAACAGCCCACAGACGTTTTAAATGGGTTTCTTTTGTGTGCGACTTGAGTTTTCTGTGATGCTATACGTAAAATATAGCCCCGTTTTGTCTTATGTAGGATTTTTTTATAAAAATCGTTACTAATTTTAGCTTTGTGTCATGCAATAAAATATTTGATTTATTTGTTTTGGAATCTGTAGTCAGTTTTATTTCTATCATAACAGACTTTTATTAGGCCATTCTTCTACCTTATTCAAATTTGGAAGGACACTCCAACTCTTCAATTTATAGTGATTATTACCAATATAACCAGAGAAGTTTATTTAGTCTCCCCTTCTCGGGGTTCAAACAGATTGAAAGAAACAATAATCGTATTTTAATATATTGAAATAATTTTCGTGTAATTCATGTTTTGTTGTTTGTTGTATTCTTATCCCACTTGGCTGGCCAAGCCCACGAATACTACTCATGATTGAAGGAAGGAAGCAGCTTTTCTGTTGTGATGGAGCACCCCGTAGAGAAGTTACTTTGGCTAAACGCTCTTATCATAGGAGACTGGGACTACGGCTTAAAGTGGTTCCGAACCACTAAAACATCCATGGCACCGCCGGGATTCGAACCGAACCCTGTGGCACAAGCGTCAGAGCGCTGTGACACTCAAGCCATTCAAGTCCCAATTTTGTGAATACCAAGGCACACGGTGTTCCCAGGTGGTCACCCACCCAAGTACTGACCGCGCCCAATGATGCTTGACTTCGGTGATCTAACGTTCCGGTATATTTGTTTTATGCATTTAATAAAGCAAAAGTAACGTGCATTAGATTAAAAGTCTGGCTTTCTTAGAAATATTGTAATTGTCTTTTAAAAAAAAAATTATAAAATTATATTTTTAGTGTTTAAAATTATTTTATTAATGATAATTCTAACATTAAAATATTTTTTGTCCCAGTAAAATTTAATAATTTAATAAAAAATAAAAATATTAATAATCTAAAAATCAAAAAAATATTATGAAGGAATAGTGTTTTTTTTATTTATTGATTAACATTTATTTGATTTCTCTACGAATCGCTTTAAAGTCAAAATAAAAGTGTTAAAATTATTTTAGATGCATTTGAATAAAATTTACACGCAAAGAAATAAGATTAATTTAAAATTTTATAAAAAAAAATACTAAAAGTGAAATGCTTTTAGATTTCTAAATAAGAAATATAACTGAATATAAATAATGAAAACGAAGATAAAAATCTTTTATTCGGAATGAAATGTTTTTATCTGTTATAAATAAAAAAAATTTTCAAAATCAACGAAAATTTTAGTCAGTTCAAAAAACCCTGATCAAAGGAAACAGTTTGGAAAAAAGGAAAAAATATCTGGAAATAGTCAGAAGTAATTTAAATAATTTTATTCGACACTTATTTTAAAAATTCTCAATCACTGGAAATTTCTAATTTACGCATGAAAGCTGGTTATATTTTCCGCACTTCCATTCAACCTAAGAAAAATAATGAAATAAATTAAAAATAATATTTGAAATAAATAACAACAAAATGAATATAATATTACATCGTAATAAAGAAAAAGAATTTGATTCAATGCAAGTGTTAAAAATGGTATTATATTAAATTATAGATGTCATTCATTTAACTAACTGCCTGGCACTACAGTCCATGTTGACCATGGTCGTCTCTTTAATTAACTCCTGGCGTTACAGTCCATATTAGACCATGGCCGTCTGCCTACTTAACTTTCTGGTACTACAGTCCATATTGGACCATAACCGTCTGCCTACTTAACTTCCTGGCACTACAGTTCAGTTCAATGTTGAACCAAAACTGCCTGCCTACTCCCTACTACTTCCTGTCTGCCTACTAAACTTCTACTAGTTCAGTTCATGTTGGACCATAACTGCCTGCTTGCTTTACTCCCTGGTACTACAGTCCATATTGGACCATAACCGTCAGCCTACTTACCTTCCTGGCACTACAGTTCAGTTCATGGTTGGACCATCTGCCTGCTTGCTTTTTACTTCCTGCACTACAGTCCATGTTTCCATGGTGTCTGCCTACTTAACTCCCTAGCACTGCAGTCCATATTACACCATGGTTGTTGCCTACTGGCAGATTGCGAAACAGGAGATGTTTTCCTTTTTTGTGGGTTAGGGTTATGAGTCCTTTTCAAACTACTCTACAATCAAATTAGACCAGGACCTACAAACCGTAGGTCCTGGTCTTTTTGACAGAGCGTTAACCAGTGGTTTCAACCCTCTGAATAGCCGGGACTCAAGCAAGAAACCTGTGGCCCCTTCACCAGAGCGCTAGTCATGTCCCTTATTTACCAAAAATGAAAATAATTTAATTTTAATTCAAAAATATATAAATTCTGTATATACTGATTAATTTGATTAACCAACAAAAACCAACAAAAGTTAACTAGATTTCGTTGTAGTCGTAATACGATTTTAACCAAATTTATTTTATAGTTAAAACCAAAAACAAAATTAATTTGAAGCATAATTCTGGACTTAATCGAATGTCTTGTAAGGGTATAAAATAATTTTATTTCTCAGGAATTCAGATTATTATGTATGCAAGAGATGCAGAGAAAACTATTATATATATAACAAAAAGTAAGTATGTGTAATATGAGAGATTTCATTGTAAAAGTTTTTCGACAGTTTGAAAGCTCATTAATTATATAGGATAATTACAATTTTTGATATGGCATAAAAATATTAATTACTGGGTAGTTATATTTAAAGCAAAGTGGTTAGAGATGTGTTATAAGGAATATACTGGGACAAGCTCAGTACCATTTTGTATGCATACTTTTACAGCATGGGGAATCCATTTATAAAGAAAATATTTTCGATGTCAGGGATAAATATCAGGCACCCGGAAATAGACATAGGGATGTTTATGAGATTGATTCACTTTGAATGGCAAAATTTAGCAAAGATAATTATTTAATCTGTTATATTTCATTTCATATAGTTAGCTGATTTTTTATTAATTTGCAATTTAGTTTTAACATTTCAAAAAGTATTTTTGGGACTTGCTACTTTTCTTTCATGTCGATGTTGTTGCAAATCTTCAAAGTTCCAGCAGAAGTCCATGATATTGTTAATTCTGATAAAGTCGAAAGCAAGCAAGGGCGTTGTAAAAGGTCTTGATTGAGAGCCCCAAACAGTCAAGAACATGATCAGGAGTAGCATGGCCATTACGGTACATGGTGCAAATTGGGTACGTTTTGGAATGAGACCTATGGAATAAGACAGACATCTGAGGCGACCCTAATCAGTCTTCTAAGACATATTTGCTCTTGCCTTCTACATTTATAGTGGCAGAGCACCACCAGGGCTTCTTGATACCAATGGCGCAGAAGTGGGTGGTCAAAGTTACACTTGTAGACTTTTGTCCTCGAAAATAATTTCCCAGGGAAGTCAGGGATTCAGAATTGACCAATGGTTCACTAGCTCCTCCTTGGCCAAGTGTCCGCCATCTTGTTTCATATTTTTTTCAATAAAATGTCTTCAATATACTTTCCTCGTGTCTTTCCACCATTTCATTCTCAAAAGAATGCTATTAGACTACTAAACACAAGCGACATGTCTCTATCAATCTGTCAAACGTGCGATATTTTTATTGATAATTTAAATCAATGTATAACATGGGCATTTTACACCAAAGTAAGATTACTAGCATATAAAGCTTCTGAGATTAGCCTAAAATCAAAGATAATTAAGGGATCAAAGCAACGATTGCAACTTGACAAAAATTTGCATAATTAACATTCAAACAATTTTTTGCAAAAGCGATATTAAAGTTGTTCAGTTAAGGATGAAGCACCACAAAAATATGAAGATTTCTACTGATGGCTTTAAAAATACCAAAAATGTGGGCAAACTACTCTGATGTCGAGCTCTTCATCATATCTTTGATTGCCCAACTGTTGCAGCCGCCATGCATTGATCATTCCACTGAGGGAGGATTTATATTCCGATCTGACAATCAACATATCCAATATTATTCGCGAGCCTCACGATATTTGATTTACTTGTACTCTTCAGGGGGATGAGACAACAGCAACAACAACAAGTTATTCAAAAACCGAATGCAACTACCAATAAATATTTATATTTTACATTAATTATTAAAAGTTACTCACTCACGTAAAACATTACTTTTTTTAAATTTTTATATCTGTTGTATTGTCAATAAAGCTGCAGCGTTATTATTTTCCTGGTGTCGAGAATGTAAACAACATTTTATTTTTCAAATCGACTTACCTTGGTATGTAAATAGTATGTATACGAAACATTGCTTCGTCTGCACAGTGCATATTTGAGCACCCAATATTTATATTTTAGTTATGGCCACCTTGTATAGTATTGAAAATATTATATGGATATTTGAATGGATTATTCTGATTATAAATGCGTTCTATGAATTTACAGAACTAGTTCATAACAGAATGAAAGCTTAAAAGATTCAATAGAACGACTCGAAAACGCAATTGCCATTTAGTAAAGCACATGGAAAATTTGTACTTATGGATTCCTATTTTCCATGCCACAATAGATGTGCTCTCACATTTATTATTTTTTCTTTCTAATGCAGCTGGCAAACACAGACAGCTTGGTCTTGGATGCCTTAAGGCAAGTGCTGCACAGACGTACTCACTTTGCATTACCCAAGGGGCGCGTGTAACTTGAAGATAAGCCACGGACGCGGAGTAACAATGCCTCCGCAACGCTCTACGACCATATTAGACCGGGACCTACTTTTTAAAGTGGATTCCGAACCACTACACACAACCATGGCACAGCCGGGACTCCAACCCGAAACCTGTGGTACCGAGCGCCAGAGCGCTAGCCACTCGGCCATTCAGCCCCCCACATTTAGTATAGATAAGGCAAAAAAATTTTTTAAAATATTTATTTTCAAATATATTAAACCTTATATATCCATGTTTCAAACTTGTTTAAAAATAGTCTTTTAAAAAAGGTGAAGAATTTTTGAATACCCTACATATATTTTGATATTTCTATTAAGTTAATATGCCTTTCGTTGATATAGATAAATTCGTAGTTTTTTATAACAAATTTTTCGTAGTTCCCTTTATTGAATTTAAAATAAAGGAATGTAATTTCTCATATTTTAAAATAAATTTATTTCTTTTAAAATTTAATATTATGTATATCAATCAGCGGTAGTACTCGTAAGTGTAAGTTACCATGCAAGTAACCAGATGTTTGATACTCACTAGTGATTTGCATTACAACCAAACTTTCAAAAGGCGTAGATTTCATGGAGAATGAAACAAATAAACTCGTGTCGAAACTCGGTTGTAAATTTGCACAAAAAAGCACAAAATTGAAACAGTTATCTTTTAAAGTAAAGATAACTGTTTCAATTTTGTGAAGTTTTACTCCTCTCTTTATAGTTCACGCAAACAAGGAAAAGTTTTGTCAGTGAGAGAAATGTGGTCTATGTTTTCTCAGCTATAACGAAACGTGGAAATGTAACTAAATGGGAAAATATGATATATACATAGTACGATTATGTGTATTTTAAGGAATTATGGGTAAGAGTATGTGCATTTTATATAAGACATAGAAAATGAATAAAGCCCGTCTACTTGTTTGCTTGTGTACTCTTTACTGGAGGGCCAGAGAAACTATAATGCCAGCTTGACCATACGGACTTTTTTTATGGTCCTTCTAGCTTTTTAAATTTTTATCCTTAGAACATTTAACTTGTTTTTAACTGTTTTTAAAG